TCTGCCCTGTGGGCCACATCCACTCCATTGCCCATTTTTATATTGCCCATGAGCTAAGATTGATTTTTACATTTAAAAAAAATTTTATGTATTTATGTATGTATGTATGTATTTCGCTCTGCCTGGTCTTTGTCGCGGCATGCAGGATCTTCGTTGCAGCACGCGGGATCTTCAGTTGCAGTATGCGAACTCTTAGTTGCAGCATGTGGGATCCAGTTCCCTGACTAGGGATCAAACCCAGGCCCCTTACATTGGGAGCGCGGAGTCTTAGCCTCTGGACCACCAGGGAATTCCTGATTTTTACATTTTAAATGGTGGAAAACACAAAGAATATTTTCTGATACATGAAAAATTTCTGATACATGAAACTTATATGAAATTAAATTTTGCTATCTATATATAAAACTTTATTTGAACACAGTCATACTTATTTATTGGCTTGGCCGAAAAGTTCGTTTGGGTTTTTCTGCAACATGTCAGCTATGGCTGTTTTCATGTTACAACTGCAGAGATGAATAGTTGGTTCAGAGCCTGTATGGCCCACAAAAGTCTAAAATATTTATGTGACCCTTTAGAGGAAGTTTGTAGATCACCTAATATAGAAGTTTTCAACACTATCAACGAGCTTGACCTCATTGACATATGGAACAGTCTCTCGCACACCATCAGCATACATATTCTTTTCAAGTTCACATGAAATGGTCAGCAAGGTAAACTATATGCTGGGTCCTTAAGTCTCATTAAATATGAATGCATTAAAATTATGCATTAGAATTGTATTAGCAGTTTTAAGAAATGATCCTCAAATATGTGAGAAAAAAATCTCCAGTTGCTTGGAAAAAGAAAGTAACACTTAATCCATGGATCACATAAGAAGTCACAAGGGAAATTAGAAGATATTTTGAAGTGAATTAATATGAAAATACAACTTACTAAAGTTTGTAGGGTTCAGCTAGAGCTGTTCTTAGAAGGAAATTTACAGCTTTAAATATTTTATTAGAAAAAAGTCTAAAATGAATGATCTAAGCTTCTAAGTGTAGCATAAGAAGAGCAAATTAAACCCCAAGTAAATAGAAAATATTAAATATAAAAACAAAAGTTAATGACATAGAAAATGAGGATTAATGAAACCAATAGCTGTTTTTTTAATAGATCAATAAAATTAATAAACCTCTAGGTAGGTTTATTAAAAAAAGACAGAAATTACTAATATCAAGAACTATCCTGTAGACATTAAAAAGATATTGTTATGGACTGAATGTTTGTGTACCCCCAAAATTCATATGTTTAAGCCCTAACCCCCAATGTGATGCTATTTGGAGATGGGGTCTTTGGAGTGGGGCCCTCACTGGGATTAATGTCTTTATAAGAAGAGATGCCAAAGAGCTTGCTTTTTCCCTCCACCCCTGTCATGTGAGGACCATGTGAAAAGGTGGCTGTCTATAAGCCAGGAAGAATCCTCACTAGAAAGTGACCATGCTGACCCTTGATTTTGGACTTCTAGTCTCCAGAACTGTGAAAAAGTAAATTTGTATTGTTTAAGCCACTCTGTCGTATTTTGTTATGGTGTCCTGAGCAGGCTAAGATAGATATCAAGTGAATATTGTGAACAATTTTAAGCCAATAAGTTTGACAGTTTAGATGAAGTGGACCAATTCCTTGAAAAACACAGGTGCAAAAGAAATAGAAAACCTAAATAGCCCTGTACTTGTTTTAAATATCAAATTGATAATTTAAAAGTCCTTCAAAAAAAAAGAAAAAAAGTCCAGGTTCAATGATTTTTTGTGGCCATATGGGTTATTTGTCAAAGGTTGTCATACTCTGCATTTAAAATGCAGGTGGATTTTACTATACCTAAAGAATACCCTAATAAAGTTGAATTTTTAAAAATCCATATTTCTAGGATAGTTTTCTTGGTAGATCCCTTCAGTCTTGAGATGGGAATATATGAATTTTTAAAAAGTCTCTTCCACTTATCTCTTTGGAACATAATTAATATATAGTAGGCATTCAGGACTTTTCATTATATTCAAAAAATACAAGATTTATGCAAGCTAAGTATTTTGAATGCTTATTTTCATAATACAATTTTGGAAAAGTCTGTGGTGTATCCTTTTGTACAGGGAATAATTTGTCAAAGTTATGTATTCAGTGCATTGCAATTTTCTTGTTTCCTCTTTTATTAAATTATAATGCCATATAATTGCTTATATGCATTTTTCATTTTTAGATTGTTATATTTATCAAGTCTTTAGATATAACCTTTTTGGGTCATCTAGATGAGTAGTTCTTAGGCTTTTAGATTACACAGAATAATAAAATTTCCAATTAATGTTAAGTAATGTCAATTTTGCAAGTAAGAACATCAAGAGAAAAAAATCCACTGTTGTCCACAATCATTATTTTAGCACCAAAAAAGTAGAAAGAACATACTTTCCAGGTAAAATAAGCCCTCCTAAGAAAATCAAGACATAGATTATTGATCACTTTGTACTAGGCATTACACCTAACATTTAAATGTTATCATATTTAATTTTCCAAATACTCATACTACATTTTCCAAATACTGTTATTATACTCATTTTATCGGAGAAGAATCTCAGGCTCAGTTATGTCAGAACAAGATGTGTGATTTCATAGCCCATGCTCTGAACATAGTCTAGGCACTTTTATAATGCAGAACAATTAACAACCTAAAATGGTGATATATTTGCATAATTCTTGATAAAAATTTGTCACCATAGGTCTTTATTTGATAGTTCAGTGCAAGCTCAAATCGCTTATGTAGGTATTCATTTTTTCTCACACATAGTTTTACGGAGATTCTGAACACCTCAGTTAAAGAAACAACCTTCTTAATGTTCATTCATTCATTTTGGAATATTCTGGGTAAACTTACAAAAGCCTTTGGCCTTTAGTATGTTTTTCTAGTCTTTAACACTTTGTGCTGGTTAGAACGCACAAGGTGGTGGTATTGTTGTCTAGCCATCTAGGCTTACAGGGAGGGAGGGTGCAGAAAGGCACTTCATGCTTGGCTTTCACTCCTGTCCACGAGGTGATATTTGGCATTTAATCTAGTGACAGTATTATCATTATAATCCTCATAAACCTGCACATACTCTGAAAATTTTTTGTCACTGTCAGGTTGCTTACTTTTTTCTACAAATGGTAAGACACTTTGAGATTTTTGTGGTTAAGAAAATTACCTTTAAACTTAAGTTTGAATAATGCTTTTATCACTTGCTAGCTGTGTACAAAAATTATTTAATCTCTGAACCTCTGTCTCTTCATCTGTTAAAATTAATAATATTTAACTTAGTATATTTTTGTCAACTCCAGTGAAACAGTGTAAATGAAAACAGCGTGAAAACTAGAAACTAATGGACATTTTAGGTAGCTGGAATCCTGTCAGGGTTTTTAGAGCAGGATAATGACATGATACATCTGTTTAGGTTGATATGATGTTGGATCTGAGTGGAAGTGGGGGAGGGGTGAAACTAGAGGAAGGGAGAGTAAAAGGGGCCAAGATCATAGGTGAGGTGACATTGAGCGTGGAGATGAAAATGGAATCAGTCATTTTGGAGGGAAAAATAAATATTTCATGATGAGAAAGGAGAAGGAACCTCTTGCCTCCCAGATTAATTTCCAACAAATATTTGCCGATTATTTTCCACACTCTGTCCTAGGCATTTGTTATATACAGGCACAGACCTGTAAGGACCTCTAGGAATTGATGGTATTTGGGTCCAGGTAGGATGTTGCCTGCATTTATGAACATAGAGAATTTGGGAGCAAGTGCTGGTTTTGGTATTAAGTCAACCTATTTACCTGTAAGCAAGTTGAGTTCTGTGCCACAGCTATGGGTACAAAATACTGCCATATAATTTTTACGTGGTCCTCATGAAATTTGTTTATTTAGGATCACAGACACCTGATTGTAAAGTTTCATTAGTGTTTAGAAAAATGATAATCTTAGGTGTTTGGAAAGATTATATTTTCCTCCTAATACTGCTAAGTATTTTAGTATTAAAAAAAAACACTGTAATGAAACTTTGGGCTTTCAGATAATTTGCATTCAGTCTTACTTGGTGCTATTTCTGGGAGAAAAACATTTCTGAATCTTATGTACATAAATTTGAGTACTTGTTACAGGCTTGTCAGTTCTAGTTATTGTCACTGTTAAAAGATAGGCTTTAAATAAAATTTGGCTGTAAACTGGCATAATGGATTTCTTAATTTTACAGCAGTGGTTCTCAAACTTTAGGTTGCTTCAGAATCATCTGGAGAGCTTGTTAAAACACAGTTACTGGGATGTTTCTGATTCAGTAGGTCTGAGGTGGGGCTAAAAATTTGTATTTCCAGAAAGGTGATGATGCTTATGTTAAGAACTGCCTGTTATATCATAAGGGATAAGATTATCCTAAGAAACCACAATTTATGTTCTAAAAGTACTTTAAAAAATAGATTGGTAAAAATTATATGATGCCCAAGAAATAAACTTATTTTCATAAACATGCATCTCAAATCCAAATCCTCGTAGGGTGTGATAAATATAAAATTTTTATTACTGTCTTTCCTAAAAGTTATTTTTCTTATTTGTTTAATTAGTAATAGGACAAATTAGAAAAATACCTTTAAAATACATTAAAGATATTATAAATACTGTTCTCTATTCACAACAAATAGTTAACTATTTAGAGGTTTTGATACCTCTAAATATGTAATTCATTTACCCAGCACTTTTCCTTGACGTTAAAAATCAGAGTTCAATTTTTAAAAAATATAATACCTGTAGTGAAAAATCAACGCATTCATTGAAAGGTGGATGGTTTTGTTTTCCACTGTCTTCTACTCTTCTCCCATCAGCCCCGTACGTAGTTCATGAATTTCAAAACCTGAAACTCTTGGAATATCAGATGTCAAATGTGATGATATGGTTAATGTAATACGTCAGCCCAAATCAGTTTCAGTAATTTTTTAAAAAATCTTATATTTTTTAGCTAATGGGAATGACAACAAGAAATTTAAAGGAGATAGACCTCCCTGTTCGCCTTCCCGTGTTCTCCATCTTCGCAAAATTCCAAGTGATGTCACCGAAGCAGAGGTCATATCATTAGGTCTACCATTTGGCAAAGTAACTAATCTTTTGATGTTGAAAGGAAAAAGCCAGGTATGTAAGTTTTAAAGATTGACCCACAGTTATTATCTCTGAGTGTTAGTGATAAAATGATTTTTAGGGGAATTACCTGGCAGTCCAGTGGTTAGGACTCCGTAGTTTCACTGCCAGGGGTGCAGGTTCAATCCCTGGTGGGGGAACTAAGATCCCACAAGCTGCAAGGTGTGGCCAAAAAAAAAAAAAGATTTTATTTTCTTGAATTTTTTTTTTCCCCCTAAATTTCATTCTATTTAAATAGTTTTTAAAATAGAACTTTTTAATGACAGGAAGCAGCAAACAAAAATGTTAATGTAGGAAACAGGATTATCTCTTATTCATTGACTTGTTAACAAACATATTTTATATTCTTAATTACAAAATGGTTTATGAAAATATCCTGTGATTATCAGAAGAGATTGGATTGATTACCATCAGAGATTGGATAATGATGTCTGATTCAGACTCCTCTATCTTTAGTAAACTATTTAACATCCCTGTTTAATGCAGATGAGGTTATTAAGAACTGGAGAAGTTAAATAATATGTCTTAGTATTCAGCCCTTGTTGTGTTTACACATTTTTCTTGCATCTTTTGGAGATAGTACATGCACTTGGATCTTTTTATCACAGATGCCACTATTGAGAATAGCATGGTTTGCACGGTTTGAAAGAGCCAACGTGACCGTGTCTAATGGCGGTGAAATGTCTAACTGCCATGTGTTATGTACATTATCGTGTTTCATATAGTGTATCCTATGTTTTATGTCAAATAGCTCTGAGAGGCAGCAGGCAATGTCACACTTTCCTTTGTTTCTGCAGTTGGTTCTAGGTTTATATTTATCTGTAGTGCTAATTGACTGTTAATTGCTTGTTTTTTGATCATAAATCCTGTTTAGAAAATATCTTGTTAGTAATTACTTCAGGAGATTCTGTTGTGAGTCACTAGTAGTACTTGTAAGCATAATCTTTCTTATGGTTCTTGTAGGTGGAGTGTTGAGGACAGAGTAGGGGTTATTTTCACCAGCGTTTCTGTGGGTAGTGACTTTCGGTTTTCTCTCCACCCTACATTATGAAAATTGATCCCTTTGGATGCTTTAGGAAAACATAAATAATTCTTTTACTGGACTCCATGTAGAAAAATTTATTTTTACATATGAATTTTTAGGTTGTATATACATTTAGGAAAAAATTCCTGTGATAAGAATCATATTCCAAAGACATTGTTCAGCTTTTCCTTTGTGTGACTGATGTTAGACATTGCAGGAGTTTAGAAACATTTAGAAAGGAGTTTGCAGGAAGAGACTCTCCCCATATAATGAATATTATTAGAATACAGTTTACAAATTCTTTGTTGAAAAGATGATTAAAAACCAGATAGGAAATATTGCCATAGCTATTTTTGTTACCTTGATCATTTTTATCCACTTCTCTTAGAAATATTAGAAAAAGTGTATTATTGATACAATTGGATAGCAACTTTAAAGTGTGTTGTGGATATCTATACCTTTTAGATAGTATAAATGACTCGAATTCTGTTTTATTCCTCAAAGACAGTGATTTGGATCAGGGGTTCTTCCTGCATTTTAAATTTGAGATGTTCTTATAGGTAGTTCTGAGGGCTCAGAACGCTTAGTAGATGTCTATATTTTATCTTCTTAACCATTAAGATAGGGTGATAAAACCTGCCACCTTAAAGGTCTGTAAGTATCCTATTCCTGTCATAAGTTAATGGGAGTCCTGACAGCTAGGAGAAGCTTTATACAGAATAAGACATAAATACCAAGGAGCTTCTTCCATCTCAGTTCTTCTTGTGTTAGTCTTCAAATAGCTAATATTAGTACAGTGATTGCCAATATCCAAAAAAGGTCACTTGAATGACCCAAAGCAATATTGACTTAATGTAAGAAGTTCTCCCATTTCCCTGATTTGTACAGTTGAGTCTTTGCACCTGAATGCTCTAATTGTATTCATAAATGGCTGTTTTATAAAAAGGTAGAGAAGAGCAAATCATTATGCCTCATCTCTGTTTGAGAATTTTTTAGGAAGAAACTGAAAGCTACTACTATTTATAGTAGTGATGCACACGTTTATTTTTGCCTTTTTAATTATTTCTAGATTTTAGAAGAAACAGAAATAAGAAGAAAACCAAAAACCACATAAAATCATTTAATCAACTGGCCATTTCCCAATCCCAAATCGTTTATTGAACCCAACTTTTTTCAATTATGTTTTCAGTTACTGTCAATGATACACTTTGAAACAAGTCTTTTCATCCCCTTGGGGACAATGTGATTTCTCTTGAGAATACTGAGTTTAGAGCAAGCTGGAATGACAAAGTAGTTCTTAGCTGCCTTTCAAAAACATGAGCTTTCACTTTACTTTCTTGTGTTTATTGCAGGCTTTCTTAGAAATGGCTTCTGAGGAAGCTGCTGTTACTATGGTGAATTATTACACTCCTGTTACTCCTCACCTTCGAAGCCAGCCTGTTTTTATTCAGTATTCCAATCACAGAGAACTTAAGACTGACAATCTACCTAATCAAGCTGTAAGTATTAAAGGTATTTCTAAAAATAGTTATAAGAACACATGATATAATAACTTAAATTTAATTTTCTGTTTTTCAGAGGAAAAAAAATCATGTGTTTTTCTTCATCTTAGCATGCTCTACTGGTAAAGATTGTTTATGTAAATTCTTACCCAAAGACTTAAGAATAAGAAAGCACTGCCATTTGGAAGTAAGTTTGAAGATATGGCGTTAGAAATGGCAGATATTTAGTTTTCCCTTGAAACTGTTTTCATGAGTGGAAAAAAACATACATTGTTATGTCTCTCTTAAAAATCTCAGATGTGAAAGGAACTGTAGAAGTCAATCCTTTTCTTTTTACAGAACATGTAACATTTGTGTGTTTAGAAGTCAATCCCTTCTTTTTACAGAATATGTAACAAAGGCATTGAGAAGTTGAGTGATGCTTTTATTGTGATGTTAAGTAACTGAACTTAAGATGTTAATAAGAATTTGTATAGATATGTTCATTAAATGAATTTTGACTCTCCAAGGTGAATGTGCAATATAGAATATGAACATTTCTTACCTAATTTTCCAGTTTTTATTTTGATATAATTCATGTTCAAACTTCTGTGTCTCTCCAGGTTGATTTCTAAGTAGCTAAAATAGTAATTTGAAGTAACTTCAGGGTAGGAAAAATTTATCCACAAAGCAAGTACATTTTAAGAAAGATTTTTTAAATTATGTTGAGAGCAACTTGGCCATGATACTCTTGCTCTAGGCAAAAGAACTCCTTCAGCTCTTTGACTCTGTGTTGAAAGTCATTATAATGCAAGCTGCTGAATTCATAGTTTTACACATTTTTAGAAACAGTGACATTTCCTGCACACAATCCTTAACTTATTAAGAGATATTAATGGCCTATAATAAACTATCTAAACTTAAGAGTAAATGAAATGTTAGATATTTTTAAATAGTATAATTATTTTAATGAAAAATTGCCTTGTAAATAGGATACATGCTCATGGTAAAACATTCAAACAATCCAGAAAAATAAAAAATAAAACAATCCAGTTACCCAGATATAACTAATTAACTAACATTTTGCTAACATTTTACTGTGTACCCCTTCTCTATTCAGGTTATTGTCTATGTATATAATTTTATACCAATGGAATCCTAATAGTTTGAAAACTACTGAAAACTAATTATTTTTTCTCTACAATATGTCAGGGATGTTGTTTCATGACAACAAATATAGAATTACTTCATACTTTTTATTTTATTTTTTTACTTCATAATTTTTAAATGACTGCATAATACTCTCTTCAAAAGGGCAGCCATCATTTATCCCGTTTCTTTTCTTTTTTTAATTTAACATCTTTATTGAAGTATAATTGCTTTACAATGTTGTGTTAGTTTCTGCTGTATAACAAAGTGAATCAGATATATGTGTACACATATCCCCATATCCCCTCCCTCTTGCATCTCCCTCCCACCCTCCCTATCCCACCCCTCTAGGTGGTCACAAAGCACCGAGCTGATCTCCCTGTCCTGTGCTATTCAGTTTCTTGTTGTTAGATTGAGATTGTTTGCCATGTTATGCTCTTACAAATAGTACTACAGCAGCATTCTTACATATCTTGGCACACATGCAGCATTATCTTATTTATGTTTCTGACAACAAAATTGCTGGGACTAAGCCTATGCATGTTTTATGTTTCAGTATATGTTGCATGATTGCTTTCTCTAAAGCTCATTTGCTGATTTAGGGTGCCACTGATAATATATGAGCAAGCAGTTTTCCTGTCCATCTGTGTTAATATGCTAGTTAACAAATTGTATCTTATTGTTTACTCTCTTTTATTTAATAACTTGTAAAGTGTTTATAGTGATTTCTGTTAATGCAGTTTTTCCCCGATTTTTTCAATTGTGGTAAAATATATATAACGTAAAATTTATCACTTTAACCATTTTTAAGTGTATGGTTCAGTGGCATTAAGTACATTTTCATTGTGCAACCCATCACCACCATCCATCCCCAGAACTTTTTCATCTTCCCAAACTGAAACTGCATACCTGTTATACACTTATTCCTCATTTCCCCTACCCCCACCCTGGCAGCCACCATTCTGTATACTTTCTGTCTAGAATTTTGTCTGCTAATGCAATTTTTAAAATATTTTTATATAATAGTCAAATCTCTGAAGTTGTATTATGGTCTCTGACATGGGTACCATACTCATAAAAACCCAGTATAGCAAGATTAAAAACATTTTTTTTACCTATATTTTCTTATACTTTCATGTTTTGGTTGTTTTTATTTGTAGTGTTTAAATCTTTGTTTTGTTAAGAATATTTTGTGGGTGGAGAGTGAGGCTTTGGTCTTTCTCTTACTCCCAGTGACCAGTTTCTCTTTTGTTGTAGTTGAATAACCCATTTATCAATATTATCCATTCATGGGACTTCCCTGGCAGGCCAGTGGTTAAGACTTTGCCTTCTAATGCAAGGGGTGTGGGTTCGATCCCTGGTTGGGGAGGTAAGATCCCACATGCCTTGTGCCAAAAAACATAAAACAGAAGCACTATTGTAACAAATTCAATGAAGACTTTTTAAAAAATGATTCACATCAAAAAAAATCTTAAAAAATATATATATATCCACTCTTGTGAAACTTGTCTTTTGTCATGGTCTAGTTTTCCATACACAGACTATGCGTATTTACAACCCGCATGTATACACTTGTTAGACACGACTACACATTCTGCTTGCGTGACCCCCATCTACCCTCATGTGTGTGTGGCTCACATGGTATGCAGTCCATGTCTAATATGGACTACCTTTTGGATTCTGTTCTGTTCCATTCCTAATTCAGTGTCCCTAAGGCTTAATATGTTGTAGGGCAAGGCCCTATTCTTTACCCTCTCTTTTTAGAAATTAAATGGATAATATGTTTTGTTTATTTCTCAGGATGTATTAGAATTATTTTGATAACTCCTAACCCCAAAAAACACAGAATTGGGTTGATTTTATAGATTTATTTGTAGATAATTAACATGTCTATATTGCTAACTGATCCTTTTGAGGAGGAAGTTATATTTTATTTCCTATCTTTCAGAAGAATTTTTAATTCTCCTTCATGTAAGTCATGCAGTTTTCACATTAGTGTTATTCCTAAATATGTTAAATTCTTAAAGATGATATAAACAATAAAACTCTTAAAGACTGGATTATTCCAAAGGGAAACAGTGAGAAATCCCAGTTGCTTGGCAACCAAAGCCAGCCCAAATGACCTAGTTTATTCTTAGATAGCCTTGATTTCTTCCCAGTACCCTTTCCATTTTGTTACTTTTGTCCATTTTTTGCATTGGTGTTTGATAAAATAATATTTTTCTTTTATTCAGAGTCCTACACCAAAGCTGAAGTCAAAATTGAAGGTCCTGTTTGCATATATAAAATGTACCAGATGTTTTTTTATTCAGGCAGCCCTCAGAAACTGATAAATTACTGTTTCATTCTCTTCTCTTTGAATAGCAAGATATCCCAAAACATGCACATAACTTCTTTTCCAGCTTATGGACATACTTGGCAGAGGGTCAGGTGAATATCAAGTATCTTTGTCCCTTGGTTTAAGCTAAAATTATAGCTAAAAAATTTAGATCCTATTTTGAGGTACAGCATTTGAGGAGTTGTTGTATTAATATGATTCATTTTTATATAGACAGTTTTTCTTGACCTTGTGGGTGGAAGTTTATAAATTTGCAAAGAGATGACCATGGAAGGATTTTCCCTTAAAAAATTTCCCAAAAAATCATCCAACGGAACACTTAAGATCTGTGAATTTTGTTGTATATTCATTTCCATCTCAATTTTAAAAATGGCTTCTTCACATTATCCAGGCATGTTTAAATTTTACATAAAGTATATATACCTCCTCCACCTCAATAAAATATTTGTTGATTTTTCCATCATACTACTGCTGTTTCCTTTACCACTAGTTAATGTAACCATTCCGGAGGGTTTGTTGCTGAAACATTTAAAACTATCCCATAATAAGAATTCTGCTGCCTCATAATGTTTAGTATCAGATACACAGAAAATATGTCTTCTGTGTATCTGAAATATCTCTTCATGTTAAGAAGACATTTCTTTTTTTCCCCCCCTCACTTTTCTGTTGTCCTCAGTGGAAAGTATGCCTCCACTTTGATTTTTTTTTACTTAAATATATTTGCCTAATTAAAAATTGAAACTGTAGAGTTAATTATTAAATAAATCTTTTTCTCAGACTTTTATTGTCAAAATAATTTTTTTGCATGCCTGCTATGCAGAGACTTTTGTACTCAATGCTCTGTGAAGTACTAATACAGAGTATATTGACAACTCTAGAATGATACGGACAATATATACCATGGCTTCTCATGTTTCTCCACTGTGGTATCTTCTATGCCAAAGAGGAAAGAGTGAAGGAAGAGAAACAACAACAGTAGCAACAATAACAGTAATATAGCAGCAATAAGCATGTATATAGAATTGTTTAATAAAAAGGATTGATAGAATGATTGATGGGTAATGAAGTAAAGTCAGTGAGGTTGGGAATTCCCTGATGGTCCAGTGGTTAGGACTTTGCACTTTCACTGCCGAGGGCCTAGGTTTAATCCCTGGTCGGCAAACTAAGATCCCACAAGCCGCGCAGCGCAGGCAAAAAAAAGTTAGTGAGGTTAAGTTTACTTTCAGTTGTGCAGGCTTCGTTTTGATAAGATTTAATCATCCTGATAGAAGAAGAAAAGGCACCATTATTCCACTGAGAGCCTCACTATGATGATTTTTCCTAGACATTATGAAGTTGTGATGTCCATTGTGGTAGCTGCTAGCTAAATGTGGCTAAATTTAAATAAATACAAAAATAAAAATTTCAGTTCCTCAGTTGCACTAGGTACATTTGGAGTGCTCACTGGCCATTTGTGGTTAGTACTGTCATATTGCATACTGTAGATGTTGAACATTTCCATTATCACAGGAAATTCTGTTGGACAGCACTGTTGGTCTTCCATGTCTCTACTTAACCTTTCTTTTTTCTGTGTGTGTGTGCACGCAATACAGTTATAATAACTACTTTAATGTTCTTTTCTGCTAACGCTAATCCGTGTGTTAATTCTGAGTCTTTTTTGAATGACCTCCCAACATCATCATTGCCTATTTAAAGGCTCAAAGTGGAAATGTGAGCCGGTTTTCAAATTTGAAAGCAGTACAACCCTTTTTTCCAAATAAAATCTTACTGGGGAGCCCACTATAAAATAGATAAACTGCCATGTTTGAAGCAGAATTAGGATACTCAGTATTCCACACACTTGGCTTTACGAGAACATAGTTTTGAAAGCTAATGATATAAAATATTCATATAATTTATATATTGTTCTCAAAGATGATTTGGAAACAGCATTTGGTAGTTTGTGTTTTACTTGATATATAAAAGTCTGTATATGACATTAAAATGCTGTTAAAAGGTAAAAAAAAAATGTATATAAAAGTGGAAGTTGTTCAACTCTTAAGCATGCAGAAAGTAAAAGACTGCCACTTTTCCAGAAAGATACTTATTTTAATGTTATTTTTCATAGCAAAATGTTGGAAAGCTACTCATCTCACATTAGAAAGGTGGTATAATAAATAGTAAATTAAAAATTAAAGTCATGAAAACAAATGTTCATATAGAAAACAAAGTACTGAGACAAAGTACTATGTTCTTTAAAATTGCAAGTGAGTACAATATGTAGAAATGAAAGAATCTGCATTAAAGTGGTAGGATTTTTTCATTTTGTGACACAGTTTACTAATTATCACCATTCTTAGGAAATTATAAGTACGGAACAAAAGACTGATGAAAACTTGCATTTAATTTCAATAATCATTAACCGTGCTTTTTTTCTCTTCAATTTTCTCTTTCACCTACTTTATTTTTTAAATAATTGTTTTTTTTTGTTTTTTTTTTGTTTTTTTTAAATAATTGTTTTAAATTTTGAGACAGTCACAAAATTTAAAAAGAGTTACAGATATAATACAAAGAACTGTTGATTCCTTGAGGCATTTGGGAATAAATTGTTAATCTGGTCTGTGTTCACTGGCCAAACTTTTAGTGTGCATTTCCTTCAAAGAAGAATATTCTTCTACACAACCAGAATACAGTGGTCAAAATCAGGAAATTAACATTTGATGCATTACTTCCCTCCAATCCTCAGTCCCCGTTCAAGTTTTTCCAGTTGTCCCAATAATGTTTGTTCCAGCAAAATAAGCATTATTCATAACCACATGTTCCATTTAGAAATCACATCTTCTAGTATCCTTTTATCTGAAACAGTTATAGGGTTTTTTTGACTTCGTAACCTTGACGCTTTTGAAAATTATGGGCTACTTATCTTTTAGGCCATCCCTCAATTTGAGTTTGATGTTTCCTTGTGATTAGATTCAGTGTATGTAGCTTTGACAGGAATGTCACAGAAGTAATGCTCTTTTTTTCTCGTTGCATCATATCAGGGAGCACATAACTTCAGTTTGTTGCATTATTGATAGTGTGCTCTTTAATCACTTGATTTGGCTGGTGTTTGCCTGGCTTCTCCACTGTAAAGTTGTGACTTACAAAGGGGGAAAGAAGAGTGTTTGGGGGAAGGTACTTTAAGGCAGTGTAAATATACGGTTCCTTATCAACTGTCAATTTATATCAGCCTATGGACTGAATGTTTCCCATTTCATTTGATGGGTTTTTATTTGTTACAGTCATTATTTTGGTTCTCAAATTGTCCTATATTTGGCCAGTGGGAGCCCCTTCCAGCTGTCTTCTGTGTCCTTTTGGCTCGTTCCCATCATTCTTTGAAAACTTCTTCGCATTCTGGTACAAAACAGCAACAGCAAAACCCCCACAAAACCAGAAAAGTTACACACTCATCTTGTGCTTTCCTTGCTCCAGCTTTAGAGCTGGACATTTTTTAGAGCACCTGCTTCCTTTTAGTGGAGCATGATATTAAAAAACTTCTCTGCCTGCCCCTGCTTGGATTCTAACATTTCATGCCAGGCTGCCCCTCCATTGAATTACTTCCTTAGTCCATTCAGGTCCCCATGGACCGACCTCCTCTTCACCCTGCTTAGATTATTTTTACTACATGTGGACCCCTTCTTAACTCTCCCTGGGTTCTGACAGTCCTGGCTAGGCTACTCTCCTCTGGATGCCTTTCTTACCCATCTCGTGCTCCCTAGGTTCTGACAGCCAACAGTGAGCCACCCACTCACAGATACCTACCTTCCTTACCTTGTTTGGGCTCCGATTTCCCTTACCAGGCAGACCTACCACATGGATGCGCTCCTTGCGTTGCTCAGGCTCTGATGCTCCATGCCAGGATGCCTTTGTATAGGGATGCCATCCTGCCCCACTCTGAACCACCACAGCTCCTCTCTTCCTGCGTATTTACACCTATCATATGCCACCCAAAGGCTTTAGAACTCAGTTGTTCAGGGAGGAAAAGAGAAGAGGGGGACTTCAGTGAATTTTTTAAAGTGGCCTTTGATGTTACCCTTCACGCTGTCTTTTTTCCTATTGTCATTTAAAAATTAGGAAATAAAAGTTATATCCAAATTTTCTTCTTTTTTGGCCATGGTTTTGTTTTCATTTCTTCAAGTAAATTTAAGAACTTTCTTAAATACTGTGTCATTGTGATAAGAAGGCAAGACTTTTGATTCTTGACTGATTACAATTTTAGGATGTATGCATCCAGAGAAAGTAGATATGTATATTTTTATTTAACTATATTAACTTCATATTACTTTACATCAACTAATTTTAAGGATTATATAATGCTTCTGTGTAACCACAAGTTCTCATTTTGCATTGTTAAATAGAGAGCCCAAGCTGCACTGCAGGCTGTCAGTGCTGTCCAGTCAGGAAGTCTGGCCCTTCCTGGAGCTCCTGCTAATGAAGGCACGGTCCTACCTGGGCAGAGCCCTGTGCTCCGAATAATTATTGAAAACCTCTTTTATCCTGTTACCCTGGAAGTTCTTCATCAGGTAAGGAGGAACACTCTTATGAAAGCAGAGTCAAATATGACCTCTGTAACTTCGGATGTTTTATGTCTTTAGTTTTTCAGGTTGTTGATTTTGGTTAATGTATTTGTTTAAATAATAGTAAAAAAAAATCTTCAGCATCCTGTTTCATGCAAGAAATAGTATCAATTAGAGATAGTTTGAGTTTTTCTTTTTTTTTTTTTTTGGCGGTACGCGGGCCTCTCACTGTTGTGGCCTCTCCCGTTGCGGAGCACAGGCTCCGGACGCGCAGGTTCAGCGGCCATGGCTCACGGGCCCAGCCGCTCCGTGGCACGTGGGATCTTCCCAAACTGGGGCACGAACCCGTGTCCCCTGCATCGGCAGGTGAACTCTCAACCACTGCGCCACCAGGGAAGCCCAGAGATACTTTTTTGAAAGCCTCCATTTTCTAACTTAAATACTTGATTTAAAAAGGTATGTAAGAATTCTATTTTTTTATACCTAAGCATGAAAATGAACAAAGCACAGACTCCTATAAAAAGCACCAGTAGTAGTTGTTCCTCAGAAAGTACCATCAGTATAGAAAACAACTAATCTATTTGTACTGACTCCTCCCTACACTTGAGTATTTTTATTTTAAAAACTCTGAAAGGAAAATATGAGTAACTTAAATAAGGAAGTATCATGTTAAATACTAACTGATTCTCAACATAGCTTTCATAGACTACCCATTACTATGTCTAAACTGTCTTGATAAGAGGCAGTGTACCACATCATGGCCTACTGTGAAGATATAGAGTTTAAGAACTGGAAGATCGATCACCTACCTAGTTACATAATTTTGTATTGAATAAAACTGCGGCTCAGATACTTGATGAGTTGAATATTGTAAAGAGTAATTTAAGAACCAGTTAGAATTCAAGTCCCCTAATGTCAACTCCAGTATTCCATTTCATTATACTTGACAACCTAAGTATAAAAATTATTTTAAAACACTAAAATATGTTATATGCTTATTTTCATATTTATTTATTTATGGCTGCGTTGGGTCTTCGTTGCTGCGTGCGAGCTTTCTCTAGTTGCGGCGAGTTGGGGGCTACTCTTCGTTGTGGTGCGTGGGCTTCTCATTGCGGTGGCTTCTCTTGTTGCGGAGCACGGGCTCTAGGCACACGGGCTCCAGTAGTTGTGGCACACGGGCTTCAGTAGTTGTGGCATGCGGGCTTCAGTAGTTGTGGCTTGTGGGCTTTAGAGCGCAGGCTCAGTAGTTGTGGCACACGGGCTTAGTTGCTCGTTGCGGCTTGTGGGATATTCCCGGACCAGGGATCGAACCTGTGTCCCCTGCATTGGCAGGGGGATTCTTAACCACGGTGCCAGCAGGGAAGTCCCTATTTTCATATTTATATCTCATTATTATTATTATTATGTATTTTTGCGGTACGCGGGCCTCTCACTGTTGTGGCCTCTCCCGTTGCGGAGCACAGGCTCCGGACGCACAGGCTCAGCGGCCGTGGCTCACGGGCCCAGCCGCTTCGTGGCATGTGGGATCTTCCCAGACCGGGGCACAAACCCGTGTCCCCTGCATCGGCAGGCGAACTCTCAACCACTTCGCCACCAGGGAAGCCCCCTCATATATTAAACAGCATGATCTCAGGCCAGTCTAGACTCATTTAACTGTTTTCCAAACCTTTGGATTTGTACTACTGAATGAAGAGTCATAGGGGGGTGTGTGTGCATTTAAGAATTGAAATGTATCCTATCCTATTCTCACATTTTACAAATAAGGGTACTGGGGACCTTAGAAGTTGTTACTTTCCCCACAGTCATTGTACCAATTGGTGATAGAACTCAGATATATTTCCTAATATGGTTCATGTGCTATGCATGTAAATATCAAAATATACCATTTATTATGCCTACTTTATTCCCTGTGATAGTTTCCTGAGTACCATTTTCTAAATATGTGCATTTGTGAAGCATGTCCTATGGAGGGTTTTAGCAGTGGTATCCGTAGCCACCGTTGTTTCCTAAAAGTGTTCAGCAGTTACTTAAGTGATTGGTTTCTTTGTTCTGGTGGATTTTCTTTTCTACTGTTTATCCCGCAAAGTGGCATTGAACCCTCTGTGATCCATCAGCATTTTTTGTTTGCTTTTGCTACTGTGGCACTGTAGCTACTGCTAACTTCTACTGCTTTACAGAAGATGTTATTGCACCTGTGGCTCAACATTGCCATCAGTCAGCAGTGAATTTAGTCAAGGTTGTGTGGTCCTGTCTTGTCATTCCATTTGTCATTTCCCTCAGACCAGTAACAAACCTTGTTTCTTTCCCAAAAGATCATGGGTCCTTCAGGTGAAGAGAGGTAATTGAGAGTCTTCAATAGTAACCATTGGGATAGGACTCTCAGCCCTTTAGTTATGGCACTCTCCTGTTTAATCCTTCTTCACATTGCTGTTGGAAAACACCAAAACTTCTTAGCAAGGCACTTAAGTCCCCATGTGCAGACTTCTCCCCATCTCTTTAAGCTCACTTCCTAACTCTTCTGCTTATTTAACACCCTAGCTTTTCTGGCCCTTTGACCCTCTCCCCCTCCCCCCCTCTTATTTCTGTCCTTGTCCATTTCTGTCTTCTATTTCTTAGGCCTGGAACACTCTTTAGGGAGATAGCCACTTAGCTGAATCTACATCATTCCATTTGCAGCTCAAATTCACCTCCTCAGAGAGTCTTTCTCTAATTACGTTAATTTAGCCCTCTCCCCCTGACACTCTATTCCATTGGCCAACTAAAATGTAGTATAGCATAATGATTAAGGATACAGTATCTGGAGCTGGTTTGAATCCCAGCTCTACCACTTACTACCTCTATAACCTTGGACAAGTAACTTACTCCCTCTATGTCTTTTTCTTATTTATATAATGGGGATGAAGATGGTATCTATTTTATACCTTCATTGTGTGGATCACATGGGTTAATGCATTTAAAGCACTTAGAACAGTGCCTGTTACATAGTAAGTGCTCAAGAAATGTTAGCTGTACTTATCAGATGCTAGTAAATTGCATTGTAAGAAACTGATCCTTGCTCTTGTGGTCTTGTGGGTAAGATGTAATTTCATAAGTAATAGCATAAAATGTGATAAATATTGTGATTGGAAAATACATGGAAGTGTGGAGTTGGTTGCACATGTTATAATTAATTAGTAAGTAGAGTTGATATTAGCTAAACTGCTCTCTAACATCTATGGAAGCTAGTGTTTTTCCTTTAGCTCATGGTGAGGGGATTAATGATGACTGAGATAGGAGTGGTGCTATTTCAAATGAGGTAGGTTAGGGGAAGTGTTTACACTATGACATTTGAACAGAAGCTTGAAGGATGTGAGGGCGTAAGTTATGTGTATATATGGTAGAACAATGATGCAGTCAGAAAGAACAGCAAGTGCAAAGTCCCTAAAATGGAAGTGTGCTTAATGTGTTCAAATATCAGAAAAAAGACTATATCATTGGCGTGTAAAAAATAGGGAAGCCATAAATGATAGGCTCAGAGAAGGTGTTAAGACTAGATGATGCAAAGCCTTTATAATCTTTACACTGAGTAAAATAGGAAGCCATGGAGGATTTTGAGTAGAGGAGGGAGATGATAGGTTTAATGTTCTTGTTGCTATGTTAAGAATAAACTGTAGGCATAAGTGGAGGCTCTTATCATAGTCCAGATGAGAGATGGTGGTTACCCAGGTGGGGACGTGAGCACTGCACATGGTGATTACGTATATATTTGGAGTGATTTGCTGATGGGTTTAGTAGATGTGGGTTATGGAGAGAAAGAGAGTAATCAAGAATGCCTTCCAGATTGAGGATATGAGCCTCTGGTAAAATAGAGCTATCTTACACTAAGATAGTAAAGACTGAGGGCGAAAAAGATTTAGGGCAGGGGTGGGAGGAAGGGGAGGAATCAAGAGAGTGTTTTGGACGTGTTAAATTTGAGATACCTGTTAGACAGCCAAGTGGGAGATGTTGAAGAGACAGTTGGGAAATAAGTCTGGATTGGGCCTAAGAATTCACGCTGGAGAATTGGTAATCATTTGCATATGAGTGGTAATTAAGGCCATTGGATTGGATGGCATCACTTAGCGAGTATTTGTAGATAAAGAAGGCATTCATCAACTGTTCCATTACATAAACTCAACCCTGCATTCTAAAAAATTTCTTTGTGTACTGAAGGAGTAGGTGAAAACAGTATTTTTGTGGAATCTATTACTTCCAAGTACTGTTATATATGGGGTTACTTTATGAATGTCCAAAAGGTGAATCTCTTCAGGATGAAGGACTTATCTTTTTGAATTACAAAATAAAGATAAATAGCTTGCAAAAACCAGTTATTATGGTATCAAATAAAAGAATCAACACTAGTAATACAACACTAGTAATACAAATTCTAATTCTTAAATCTTGCTGTTTTGTTGGCTACAAAAACTATTATAAACAAATTGTGGCCAATGTGCTTGCTATTTTTAAAAGTTCTAATATAAATAATGCTTTTTACAAGTGAATACTGGTGAACAGTTTCTGGCAAGCCCTCTTTATAAACATCACCCTGAAGATTAATTTTATCAGAATTTGATCTTTAGTATTTTATTAGTCCCATTTTAAAGTCTGAAAAGATTAAAATGCACGAGAAATGTCAAGAGTTGAGTCTATGTGTTTCTTATGTTTATGACAGCAAAGTAAATATATTAGGAAATAATCAAAGACCTTGTAATCTATAAAAATATATATTAAGCTTTCCTAAACATTGATCTTTTGAGACCAAATCTATTTAAAACTGAGTATTTTGATAATTATAAAAAGTTGTTAAAAACTACACTTCAGGCATTCCTGAATTCCCCAATGTTGGTGCTCACTTACTTTATTCAAAAGTATCAGATTGGGGACTTCCCTGATGGCGCAGTCGTTAAGAATCCGCCTGCCAGTGCAAGGGACGTGGGTTTGGGCCCTGGGCCAGGAAGATCCCACAGGCTGCGGAGCAACTAAGCCCG